TATTGAGATGGCAAACATCACTGAACAGCAATCATAGTCTCAGACGTTGCAGGTACTGGAACACAAATGGAAAAAATGAATTGTCACACAGATCATTCTTTGTTTAAAGACCAACCTATGCAAGAGCTATGTATTTTTAATGGGGGAGCTCAGCCTAATTCCAAATGCTTTAAACCTCTGGTGACCCTTAGGATGACTTTTCTGACCCCTGATTGTGTGATTTATCTTCTTCTGTTAGGTGTAAAGCGGGCTCGTGTCTCCTCAGGGGGCCTTTCAGACTCACCAGGTGGCTTTTCTAAGCACATTCGGTCCGATATGGACTTTTCACCAATGAAGAGTGCACACAGGTCAGAATGCTATATGCTTGTGTTTTTTGTTGTGTTCAGTGACTAACACACAAAGGACTCCAGCCTGCTATCACCTTTTGTTTCTAGATGCCTATGTTTTACACCATAGTGGTATTCAGATGGGGATATGTATAATTAAATTCTCCTCTGCTACATGTGATTCAGGGTTCCCTTCCCTGCCATACCTTAAAAGATGATTATAGCCTCACTTTCTAACCCCACACACTTCTTTACCTGAAAGCCTTTACTTGAAAACCTATAGCTCAACCTTCTCTGCCAGAGTTCTGGTTCATTGTCCAGAATGAATACCCTGCACTCTCAACACTTGCCTTGAAACTGACGGTGCCATTCGCAAGCACATATTTGTGCAAAGTTGTATTCAGCACACTTGTGTCCATCAAGTCTCTGCAATATTGAGCTACTGTTGATGTCATGTCAGAGATTAGATGTGCAATTTCTACCATGCCGCCGGACTTTGAGGAGTTGTCACAACATGCAAGCTCATGTATCACATGAGAGCATTAAATAACATACTTAATGTGTAAATTCCTTGGTTGCTATGTTGTTGTCTGGGGTCATTGTAAACAGTCTCAAAATTGTGGTCACTCAGGCAAGAAATTTGGGATCCCCTGGTGTAGTCTGTAAAAGTCACAAGAGAAATGTAACATTATTGTGAAGCACTTTATTATTAATGTAATTAATTGTGTTTTCATGTTTCAGTGAGGAAAAAGTGAGCTACTCCACTTCTCAGCCAGAACCTCGCACTGGCATTTCCTTGTGGGACAGCAGTCCAACCAATATCAACAAACTAGTGCAAGGGATCAGCTTCTCCCAGCCAGCATGTCCTGAGCACATGCTAGTTAACAGTCAGTTACTTGGCACCCCAGGCTCATCACAGGTAATGTTTGGAAATGCTATATTCATTCATCTTTGCTCACAGCAGCATGGCAATTTGTTCTTTGGCTGCTAGACTGTAAAGATGCCGTTTGCACCAATTCAGATGCATTGTCCTAATTTTAAAGCCAAGTAAATTGGAGGGGGGGTTATCCAAACTTTCAGCCCAGAAAAGTAGTTGGTTATCTGTGGAATCCATATCTCTGATCTCTAATCTGCAGAACCCATGGCAACGCTTGGTGAAGAGAATGACCCGTTTCTTTACAAAGCTGGATGCTGACCGCTCCTATAATAGTTTGAAGGAGGTTTGTGAGAAGATGGGCTATGTCTGGAAGAAAAGCTGCACAAACCAGGTACAGTCCATGGAATTAAACGAATTAATGCTTCTGGTTCCATTTGACAAATCCTATAAAAATATCTTTTAGTCAGATGTAGCATTTTCTGAACCAGCACAAGACCTGTAAATGAAATCCCTAGTCAGTCAGACTCTCTTAGTGTAGTTACTAGTATACTGTGAATATAGTGCTTGTAGCATGTGAAAACTGCCCTTCTCCTAAAATCGTTCTCCCATTTGCCTTCAAGGTCACCATCTCAACTACTGACAGAAGGAATAATAAACTGATTTTCAAGGTGAACCTGGTAGAAATGGAGGACAAGATTTTGGTGGATTTCCGCCTGTCTAAGGTATGCAAAATAACAGACTTTAGCATTAGAGAGAGGGGTGGGTGTTAGAAGCAAACTGGACCAGCTTCCATATGATAAAGCTACATGTGCAAGTGGGATAAGATGACACGCCTGGGGAAAATGGATTTTCGCATGGGCAGTTTGTGTCTAACCGAAGGAGTGAACCTACAAAATGGGAGTTAGCACCATTACTTTTTCACTGGTGCCTGAAACCAGGGCTGTGGTACTGAATGCCCCATGCAGTGCAAAAGCTGTTAACGCTCAGTGGTAGTCGTATTAGTCTGTATCAGCAAAAACAACGAGGAGTCCTTGTGGCATCTGAGGAGGTGGGTTTTAGCCCACGAAAGCTTATGCCCAAACACATTTGTTAGTCTCTAAGGTGCCACAAGGACTCCTCCTTGTTTTTGCTCACTGTCTGGAAATCCTTCCTTCCAGTTAATGAGCATGGGGAGCTAGTGAGAGAGAGCAAGCATCTTGAGTACCAAAGTACTATGGGAGAAGGCATTGTAATTGTCTAAAGCATAATGACTTTGGGGCACTGGGGGAGCATGCTGGGCTGGCCTGATCCTGCGCTCATGGAAATCAGTGGGGAAATAGAAATATGAACTCCAATGGAAGCAGGATCAAGCCCTTAAAGGTGTAGTTATCCTTATTCCCTCTCCCCAGTCAGCTCTGCTGATACTTGCTGTGGTGGAGGAGAAATCATGCCCGCACTCAGACAACCTCTCTGGGAGCTCGGCAGGCACCATCTGGACTATCTGCCAACACTGCAACTGTATTATGGCTGTTGGTATGCATGGGACTCCCTGTGTCTTGTCCCTAGCATAGTATGCAGGGGCTGCCATAAATTTGGCCCATAGTATCAAACTAAGAGAGATCTGAATGTAATGGATCATAATAGCTTTCTGGGAAAAGGTTAAGCATTCTGTCTTGAGTGCAGGGGACTGGACTAGATGACCTCTTGAGGTCATTCCAGTTCTACACATCTCTGATTCGTGAAACAGGGACCTAAGCTAATATTAAAGGTGCTCTTCATATCTAGGCAGATGGTGCAGAATAGTCTGCTACAGGTGAGACAGAGACCGCCAGGATCTGCCTCTGCCGATGACAATTAACAGTAATAGGTTGATTTGCTTGCTGTTTTAAAGATCCCTGATAGTTTTGTTTCTATAGAAAACACTTGTCAATGCATGTAGAGGGAGAGTTTATTATAAATGTGCGCATGCAAAATAAATCTATGAAATGGATTAGGTCATGATTGGGCCAAGCTGTTAAGAGCATAATAGTAGAGGTGGGAACTCTTCTTGCCATGTCATATATTTCCCTTCTTGAAAGATAAATAAAATTGAAATATTTTTAAGACTTAAACATGGGCTCAGGGCTGCACCGTAAGTGGAGAAAATCCACAACGACTGGCAAATAGAATAGACCCCTTTTGTAAAAGGTTATAGAAGCAATACCATGCATATAACAATAGAGGAGGCGGCAACATTTCTTGAGAACTAATTATGAACAATTAACATAAAACTTGTAAAGGAAAAAATAAAATCTCTAGAGTAGGTCCCAGTGTCCCTCAGATAGGCAGGTGTTACAGCGTTCCCATTCCTTTCTTGTCTGTCTATTTGCACATGCATGCAGTCCCCAAAATAGTTTTGTTTTTATTACCTAGGGTGATGGGTTGGAGTTCAAGAGGCACTTCCTGAAGATTAAGGGGAAACTGAATGATATTGTCAGCACCCAGAAAGTATGGCTTCCTGCCACGTGATCCAGCTGCCATTGGGAGGTGTAGTGAATTGGATGCTCCTACACTGATACAATTTTTATTTTTATTCTGCATCAAGAAATGGTTGTGGGTGCCAGTATCTGAGAGTCACTTGCGATGGAAACCCATTTGTTTAGGGATCTGTCTTGACACCAGGACATTTCCTCAGAGGATAGGCTTGGTAAATACATTTCCAGGGCCTCCTGGATGAATTTGGGATAGTGATCATTGAAGTGTTCCTGACTGTAGTAAGTTAACTGGTGGCATGCCTTCCTATTGCTAGCTACTGGCATGAGGTTTTTTTCTTCTGCTCAGTCAGCAAACCCTCTCATTGGGATATTTTGTGCTTCTGTGGGAGCCAGTCTGACTGTTCCACTGACTTACAGAGAGTATGCCTCCTGCCCCAAGGCTATTGCAGCCACTGACTGACGCAGACTTACGGTTTTTTTGTGGGAGCGGGAGGGTAAGAGCCTATAACTAATAAAAAATTGTTTCAGCCCAATTGTTTCAGCCCCCTTACTGCATTGTTGTATCTTCTGATTTTAAATCTATTTGAGCAATAACTTGTCTGTTACCCTTTCATTTAAAATTTGATGACATGGGGTGCAGAGGCTTAGAGACAATGTGGGTCTTAGTCATGTAATTTTGTTAAATTTATTATACCTTTTTGGCCTTTCCTTTTATTAAGTAAAGTGGTTGGGCCCAAAGCACTAGTTCTAGTGTGGTGTTCACCTGTAGTTTTACACATTGCAGGCTAAGAGGTCTGCAGCAGAATAGATACTGTATTAACATTTTATGTACCGTTTATCTTGTTTTTAACTATCTTTTCCCTTTGTTCACTGTTCTGTAGTTTTTCCTACATTGGAAGGTAAAGTCAAACCTATTCTATACAACAGCTTATATTGGGAATTTGTTGGAGGGTAGCAGGGCCTCATGGAAATAAGAAATGCCCCTTTCTCTTACCCCTTTCTTGGTACCTAAAATTCAGACTTCGTTGGGCAGTTATTTCTTTTAATGGTACATAGTTTATTTGTATTAACAAGGACCACTTGCTTCTGACCAATCACAGTCAAATGTACAATGATGTGAAGATAAACACAATCTGTATAAACTTTTGTAAATTTTTACAAAATAAAGTATAATCTCAATTTGAAAGAAAGCAAATGGCTGCTCTGGGGTGTTCCGGACAGAATTCCATTTCAGAAGAGTTTGCCCCTTCTAGGGATCCCACCTTATTAACAAAGCAAAGGATCCAGATAAAGCCAGTGTGTCATTCCACACCACCTTCCAGCTCTTCTCCCTCCCAGCATCCAGGAGTGCCCCCTTTCTGGGTCTATTTCAGTAAAAAGGTTAGGGAGTCTTTTCATGGCTTCCAAATTGGGTGGGGAGGGGGTTCCAGTTTTGGCTCAGCATTCAGTTTCCTGCTATGCCTCCGAGTCCTTTAATCAATCAGGCTTGCTGCTCCAGCAGGCCTGGCAGTAAAGGAGCAGTTCAAAGCTCACTCCCATAATGACCGAAGTCAGGTATGACACTGCCAGTTTTCAAGCAGTGGTTTAGCGACACGTTTTGTTTTGTGACCTCTTCATTCCTAGCTTTAGCCCTAAACTTGAAAGAAAAGGCTTACATATTCCTGATACAGGCCCCCTGGCCATCTGATGTAGCCTCCCAAAACAGAGGTCAAACGGCGACTGTGGTTTAAATGAATAGACTGTATCTGGCCAAGAGTGTTGTAGGGTTTTTTGGCATTAGAATGCTTTGGAGACATCAAAAGGCTGCCTGGCATATGCAAGGGGGGACCCCCAAAACAAATCAGAACTGCTGAGATTTCAATTTAGCAAGAATGGGGTTTATAGACCCGGGGAAAAAAGTAGAGAAATCCAAACGAAGCAAAGTTCACAGTTCAGCAGCACAATATCGTAGGCGAACGGATACACGCTCAGTACACCAGCAATATTTCAGAGACCGCTGAAATGTTGCACCAGCTGCTGGCTTTGGCTACGTGGAGATTGCTTGAATGTCAGTCTCCCTTGCATAGGCACTCTTATTTCAGTTTGAGTGCTTTTACCAACCAAACTGAAGTTAATTCCTTATCAGATAAATCGATTCAAGACCTAAATTGGTGTAGGTAAGCTGGTGCAAACCCCTAATGTAGATGCACTTAAATCAGTTTCACTTGCATCTTTTTAGCTTACCTCAGTAATTACTGATGCAAATTAAAGTGATTTAAGTGAGAGTTTCACTGGTTTAAATGTACTGATTTTAAAGGTTGCATTAGTTTTAAATAGATTTTAAATTGATTTGGGTAAACTAGTGCAAATCTCCTAGCATAAACAAGACATGCAACGGTGAGGGGACCTGCCCTAGGATACAGCTAGTAGAATTGGAACTCCAGAGTTCCTAGCCTGTGCTCTCTCCACTGACCCAAATTACTCTCTGTTGCCTGAGGGAATGGTGAAATAGGATAATCAGTGAGGCGGGGACGTGGGTGTGAATGCAGGTAAATGGGATCTCTGCTTAGTAAGGCAGAGGTATATGAGCTCCCAGCTGTGAGGGCCTTTATTGTGGCTGAGTCAGTCTGGCAGGGAGCCTGTTAGTGCCATGTATGGCAAGAGTTTTCACACTGAGGATAATTTTGGATGCGTCAAATTAGCACGATAAAGGCAGTGAGGTCCTAAGTGGTGGTCTTGGATTGTGGAGGCATCTTGAAGCCTGAGATGGGGGATGAGAGAAGGGCTTGGGATCCCTATAGCATGGACACAGGCCCCACAATTCCATGAGGTGGAGATCCACATTGGTGCTGTTGGTAGTTCTAACTGTTGCAGAAGTCAGTCTTGCAGCAGGAAATTTGGCGGTGGCCAGACTTCGTTGGCTCCATGATGTTGCATTTGTCGCCTTGCACAGCACAATCTGCCTGTGAATGAAACTGGATGCCTGCTGTGTAGGGAGGGAAAACACATCAGGACAATGCACTCAGGAACGAGGACTCCTTCCAAGATTCTCACAAGTGCCTGCTGAGTCCAACTCAGTGGCAAAGGTGGAGTGTCTAACCAGAAATAGTTTATGCACGCATTTCCTCTCACTCTGCTCTTCGGGCTAGATCTAACATTTAGGCCAACAAGACACGTGGGCCAAGAAAGAGATGAGAGTGCTGACCCTCAAAAGAACATGGAGGTAAAGAACTGCTCTTGCTGCCCCACTCTACAGTGTGAACACATATGGATCATTAAAGATCAGGACCCATGGGGTTATCCACATAACTCTGTGCTGGGGAAAATGGCTAAATTCTGCTGGAGCAGACTAGAGCTTGGTTTAAAGTCTTCTCCAAAGGACCACTCCCAACAATAGCATGGCAACCAACCAATGTTCTTCAGTCCTACTCTGTGAGCTCAGCGTTTGGGTACCCACTGGAGATGGGGACAAAAAGCTAAGCCAGTTACATAGCTGGGGGGGTTCAGCATGGATCCCAGCACTATCAAGTTGGGATTTAGGTCTGAAGTGCTCCCAGATGCTCACTGAAGCTCCCATGTTCCTTCTGATAGGAAGAGGGGAGTAAACACTGGTGTCTCAGCCACACACACAACCTTTGAGTGGACTGTTCCTAATGTCATTTCACTGGGCTACCAGATTCTTCTTTATTTCCTGCCCTAAAGTGCTGTCCCCACTTAAACAGCTGCTGTGTTCCCCAAGGTGACTGCCTTTCAGAACTGGGTGATATGCCCCATATAGTCTTCTCACCTACCTCGCAGGCATGTTGTGGCTTCCATTCATTCATTTCACTGTTTGAGATTCTTGGGAGGCTCTAAAGAAGAGCCCAGTACTAGTCTGTGTCCTCTGCCTGGGTTTGCTGGTGCAGCGCACCCACTATGGCACTGCATGGGCTGGTACTGGTGAATAAGGCCCCCTTTGGCCATGGGTTCAGTGTCTCCATTGATCCTCATGGCTCCTGCTGGCCTGGTGTGCATGCAGTTAAGCCATCTTTCCAAAGCCAGCCCTCTTCCCGTCTTGGCCCTAGGATGGACCCTCCTTGGAGAGAGGGAAGTAGCTCTTCACAGCCCATTACTGTCACTCCAAGTTCCTGACCCAACAGCTCTGGAAGCAGGGGTTAAATAGAATGCTGTGTAGGTAGCTCCAAGAGCCCTTGCCTGGACACCCAGCCAGAAGGCGAGACTCATCTCATTCCTTGGCCACAAGGGCTCACTAAGGGATATCTCATTTGGGGCCCGGCAGAGTGAGCTGCTATAAGCCACCCCCTGGTGAGTGCCCGTTTCAGGACATACATACTGGTATAGACTCTGATGTATTTGCAGGGTAGCCCTGGCGCAGGGTGGCAGATGCCCAATCCTTTGATGCAGCCGAAGACGGGTATTTTGTTTTGGCAAACGGTACATCGAAGGGCTTCAGCTGGAAGAAAAACCCACACAGAGCCAGACAGGAATCAGTTAGGGGCGAAGGCCACAGAATTCCCCATGCACCTGCCATGGAGAGAGTGCCAGGTGACAACAAAGACAGCCCCACAAAGAGCAGGTTGGATGCAGATGGAGCCAAAGAAGAGGCCTGCGGAGAAGCAAGCCAGGCGAAAGAGTCAGCTCGTGATCAAGGTAAATCTTTCCCTGGGCTGGCAGTAGCCCATGCCAATGTCCCTCCACTAGGGGGAAGCAAGCCTGTTATAGGCTATAATGCAGGAGGCAAGGCTGGGCAACAGTTGGTTTCCAATCCCTAAGGACAGAGGCACGTAACACGAAGACGAGTGGGGGCTGTGGTGTGGAGAGGGTCTCTGGCAACCAACGGCTCTCCCCATGACCGCTAAGCAGTGTCTCCAGAGCCCACAGGAAGCCAGTTGCCAGCGTCTGGCAGGGGTTTGGTTACGCAGGAGACAAACGCTGTTAGTCGCCAAACAGCAGTGAAGTGCAGGAGCTCTTTGTGCAATGCTCTATGCATGCAACACAAGGACAGTAACTGCTGGACCGCTCTGTTAGTTGTGTTCCGTGTCTCCAGGGACGTCCCCATGCCCTTGACAGGCAGCTTGGATACGCTGCATGGAATGAACTAGCACAGTGTGCACGGGGGTGTGGGTTTGCAATCTGCTGCTTGCAGACCTTGGAAAGATCCGGTTCATAAGAGACTAGATTTTAAAACCAGAAGGGAACGTAGATCATCTAGTCTGACCTCCTGTATAGCACAGGACAGTTAATTTCATCCAGTTACCCCTATTCCCTGGGCCCGCCAGGAATCCTGTCACTGCAGCGCAGGCACTTGCTGCTGTTAAGGAAGGGGCTGGACAGTCACTCCCGGAGGTGTCGGGGGAACGTTGAGACTCTGATTCCTGTGTTAATTTGCAAGGAGTGTGGAGTAAACCTGGAATCAGGGAGATTTTATGCCCCAGCGCAGCAGAATGGCCATGGAAAGTGTAAAGGGCCAATCCCATTGGCAGGAACGTCATGGGCACAGCTGGTTTCAACCTGGAGAGGGCAAAATCGCATAGCACGCTCTGCCTCCTGCCAGTCGCCAGTTAGCTTCCCAGCCCCCCTGTTTTGTTTCAGGGACTCACCTGAGACACAGCAGAGCAGGGCAGAGAAGCCGAGAACCAAGAGCTTGTTCATCTTTAGCTTCGTCGCCGTAAAGCTGCGGTCGTGTGGGGTGAGTGGGGAACCTGGGACTGCAAACCTTGCTCAGTGGCTGCTGGGCAGGGCAGAGCTGGATTTATACCCCCAGGGTAAGGGCCAGTCCTGGGAGGAACCAACATGCAGTCCCAGGAGCTTACTTGTTGGACTCTTGTCGTATCACAGATTGGGGGCAAGACACTCCCTGCCCAGATGAGCGGCTCCTCCTCCATAAATGTGCTAATCAGAGATTAAATTCGGCTGAAGGGCAGAGGGATGGAAGAGGCAAACTAGCTGCAGTCCTGCTGGCCAGGGGAAGGGTACTATGGGAGAGCGCTGAAGCCTGTCAGGACAGGCTGGTGTAACTGATGGAGAGGAGATCCCAAGTTATTCGGTGGCCCAGATCCTGAGTTCAGATACACCCGTGTGAGTCCAGAGTCCCTCCCCATCGGCTCAGCATTTGGCCCACCGAGGTGAAGTTGGTTTATTTTAAGGCTGTTCATTACACACATCAGAGCAGTGTGTGTATAGCAAGTTCCCATCACCGGCCACGTGCATGTGTGACAGGGACACATGGCATCCCTTTGCAGAGGCCCCTCAGGGTGGGGGTTTTATGGAAAAGAACAAGACATTCGTGCCAGCCTAGTCGGGGGTTGCTACTAGTAGTGCATGGAGCATCTGGCAGGATTGGGCTCTATGGGACCTGCTTGTGTGGCCCTTCCCCCCCCTGACTTCGGCAGGACACCGCAGGGACACGGGGGCTGCATCCCTGCAGAGGTTTGCAGGATCAGGACCGTTCAGAGTGAAAAGGGCGGGAGAGGGGATGAAATGGGGTTCAGCTGGAGCCAGCTGCGGTTCACCAGGAGCTGTTTTCCTGTAGGCATCCCAATAGGTTAGCAGTAGCTGTGGGTGCATGAGCTGAGAGGCAGAGACAGGGTTGAGTGTCAGGGGCACCATACTGGCATCTCAGCCCATGGCATCTCATGCTTTCTCCCAGCCATTGAAGAAAAGCAGGGATGGGAGGGATCCCTGTGGGACCCACAGCGGGGCCTTTGGAGAGGTGCCGTTCCCCACGGCCGTTCTGAGTTCTGCTACAGAAGGCTGATTAGAGCCAATGCAGCGCTGGCTCAGCTATTCCTGTGATACCGTGTCGGCGGGTAGCAGTACTTTATGGTGCACTGTGTCAAAGGCTGCAGAGAGGTCCAGCAACATGTTCATAGAGAACTGACCTGCGTCCATGGCCACGAGGATGTCAGCTTCCAGTGCCACTGGGGCTGTCTCTGCTGTGCCCTGGTCTGAACCCTGCTGGGAGGCAGCTGCCTGTTGTTGGACCAGCGTGGTTACGACTTTCTCAATTATTATAGGAGGTTGGACACTGGGCAGCCGTTGGAGTGATCTACTGGGTTGGGTTGGCGTGGTGAAAACTGGGCAAGCTCTTGCATTTTTTTTAAAGGGTTTGGTAGCTGTGTGTCTCTGGAGGAGGCATTGACTAGTTCCTAATGACTCTCCTCTAATGAGATGTGATGGTCTAAGTACTATGAACCCTGAAACATGCAAATGGGACGGAGCCCCCCCTCCCACGGCATGGGGAGACAAAACACCACCACTGCCCTGCAACATCTGGCAAGGCCATGCTTAGCTTGGCTCTGCTCCCATACAGCCCCAGGGAGCAGAACACTGTGCTCTGGATCCACCCACCTGAGCTCGTTGCACCTGGCTGGAAGTGACACAACGGGGGGGAACATGCTGGAAGCGTGGGTGACAGCTGGTGGGAGTATGTTTAGCCCTGTGGCGGGGATAGCGCTGGATCTAACGGAGCCGATTTGTTTGGGGCCAGAGACTGCGGCTTGGCACGTCCCAGGGTCACGCTGAACCCAGCACACTGAGTAGCCCACTTTGTGTCAGGTGCTGTATGTGCAAATCATACCGAAGCATCAATGCACTAATGTCCTGAGTGGGGCCAAGGGGCAAACAAATCTGACTGATGTTGTCTGTGTCGTTACATTGCTAAACTCACCCACGTGTCTCGTGCTAAGGAAGTGCCTTTAAAATCTCAGAGCACCCAGCACATCACCCTCTTTGCTAACACACCCTGGCCCCCATGCAGGACCCCTCCCCCTGCCAGCACAGACTGGGGGACACTGCATGCTACAGCCCATCCAGACGCAAACCTGTTACCCCTTTTGGTCCAAGTGGTTAGCCAGTATTTGGGTCTTTGTACGTCATTTCCATTAGGAGGAGAGACTGATGCTAGAGTCAGGTATTTCTTTGGTGCAATCCTGTCTAGTAAAAAGACTGGCCACAAAGTCCTATTTCCCTAAACAAAGCAGAACCGAACAGCAGGCAGTTTCTTTGCACAGAAACCCAAGTCTGCATTTCCAGCCAGCACTGTGCCCAAACAGAAGCCCTGTCGCTCAGCTTCCTGTCAGGGCCATGCTCACTCCTGCTTGTCTTGTGATCAGGAAAAGTCAGCATGGATTCACCAAGGGGAAGTCGTGCCTGACTAACCTAATTGCCATCTATGATGAGATAACTGGCTCTGTGGATGAGGGGAAAGCAGTGGATGTGTTATTCCTTGTCTTTAGCAAAGCTTTTGATATGTCTCCCACAGTATTCTTGCTGCCAAGTTAAAGAAGTATGGGCTGGATGAATGGACTGTAAGGTGGATAGAAAGCTGGCTAGATCGTCGGGCTCAACGGGTAGTGATCAATGGCTCCATGTCTAGTTGGCAGCCGGTTTCAAGCGGAGTGCCCCAAGGGTCGGTCCTGGGGCTGGTTTTGTTTAATATCTTTATTAA